CTTGGCGGGGTAGGGGTAACTGTCCTAAAAAGGACGGTTAGCTTTGCCGGGGTAGGCTATCGTTCGGGGTATGGGTGGGCTGCTTTAGTTCATCCTGGGTTGTTCGGCTGTTTGGTTTCCTTTGTCTGGGGCTACGAGCTTGTCCAGCAAGATGGTGGCTTGTCCGGGTCGTTTCGAATGGGAGTGAGTGGGCTAGTATTTGCGGTAGCGTATGTTTGGCGTCCCCTGCATCCTTTGTTTCTTTCTTGTCTCGATCATCTGTGTATGGGCTGCTTCAATTTCTGCCAAACAGTCTCCATTGCTATTTATTATAGAGCCTAGATATCAAAGTTTGTGACATTTTCAATTTCTTCATCGTTTATTGTTATTTTTGGGTGACAGCCAGTTTTATCTGTGGACATTACTATCCTTTTCTTTAAATTCAAGAACATATTTTGATCTTCGCTGTGCTTTTGGACAGACAATATAAAAATTTTTATTTCTTCATGCTGTTCGAAAGGAAGACTGTGTCATCTGCGAAGCGGAGTTTTGGGATAGAGTTGCCAACAGTTTTGAGCGGATCATAACTGTCACAAGTTCGGTCATTTTTTATATTTCTCATATTTTCTGTGTATATATTGAATAGGTATGGTGAGAGAATGCACCCCTACCTCACTCCCTTTTGCACCTCGAACCAATCCGATGTTTCACCAGCTGTTTAATTTTTGGCTTCCATGATGGGTTTCTTGGGACAGTAATTTGTTAGTTTCCCGTTGCTTTCCACATGCTTTAAACTACGTCCTTAGCCTTTAGCAACCTTTTCGATTGCTAGGGCAAGTTAGTGCCCTGTTCTGTGGTGCTCCTGCTAACAACAGAGGGCACCCCAAAGGTGTCCACTTATCCAGGCTGATACTCGATCCCCATAGCTGCTTTGGGCACAGTGCAGTGTGTTTACCGTCCTCTACCGCGTGGAGGTGTAGTTTAGGTTTTCCCTTCACTGAGTTTTGAGACCAGAATGGCATTTCCCAAAACTCTCCAGTACTTTCAGAGGACCCTTCAGAATCACCTATATCAAATTATTAACAAAAAGGAGAAATATATTATGAAAATAAACACTGCGAATACAGAGACAATGGGTATAGGAAGACAGAAAGACCATTTGAAAATTGACCAAATAAAGTAGTTCAGACAACTAACAAGAATTTCCTGGTACTTACTGCCACAGTGAGCTACACGAAAACGTAACAACGGGTATAGAGCGAGAGAAGACCTCGGAAAATATGGAGGTATGGCATTAGGAACAGCTTTACAGAAATGGAAATCAGTCTTGATAATGCTCTTGACAGAACTCATCAACGAACGTTACATATCCCCCCGACGACACTTAGCTAAGGTACAAGGTGGAGGAGAAAACGAAGAAGAAGAAGAAGACGGCTTTCAGGGCTTTATGCGTCATTCGGCCCCGCACTCCGACTTTAGTCTGCTTTTCTTTTAAATGTGCTTCTTTGGCGCATGGTCAGCTAAGGCCTGTAAATTGGACAATGCTTCTGATAGTGGAACAATCAGATCTTCGTCGGTTCTACAGGCTCATACACAGTGCTGAAATTCCTGAGTCACCCGCAGGAGGACACAGAAACACCTATAGAGAAAACTGCATGCTTTGAATATACAGTTCTCCTAAAACTAAACAGAACTTTGAATATAACCTTAAGCACTTCATCAAGATTTTCCTTTTCATTTGAACGGCATAAGAGTTTTGGCAGGAGCACGCCATTATTTTTCACGCTACACAGGTTTCGCCTGTTAATATTTGTCTTTGTTTGAAGGCAGTAACTAGACGATGTGTCGGTATTAATGTGTATAGACTGAATGGTGCGTGTTTTAAAAGACAAATAAAACAGCCTATAATTATAATCTTTACAAATCTGTACGTAAGCTTGTTACATTTGTTGCGGAAGACTTGGGGCTGCTGTAACTGCACACGAGTAGTTTTGGCGAAAACTGTTCTCGTGGTTTTAGGACTGTAGATGTGATTTGCACCATGTAAAAATTAAAATGAGAGTACAGGAGACTTTTCAACGTCCTTATGCGTATTAGGCATATAGGGCTGGACCTATATTTTATAGACTAGTCGGCACTCGGTTAGTGATGTGGTCAACATGACGCCGGCTATGCTATCAATTAATTTGGGGGTTTTTTTTTTTGGGGGGGGGGGGGGGGTAGTCGTTACGTTCACCCAGCATCCCCGAAGGGGGAATTGTGGGTTATAGTTATGGCTAGATTATGTCCGCCATATAACATGGCTTAGCATTGCACGCCACCAAGAGCCCTGAAAAGGACTCCTGCTGTGTTGATGCGATCAAAGTAGACAGACCCAAATACTGTCCCGACCGGCAACGAAGTCTACCAGCGAGCAAGTAGGCG